CTATTCATCCACCGTTTGAGGATGGGACGGACAGCCTCGACGGTCCTCAGGCCGGCCGACGGGCTCATCAATCTAGCCCGCCATTCGATCCTGAGGATCCGCCGAAAGTCGGACCTCCGCGCTTCGATCTCGTGACCAGCGAGTGCCTCCCCCATGGAACGTCGCTCCGCGCGCCAGTGGTACACTGACGCGTGGAGCTCCGCTACCAAGTCCCACGGAGGAGACCCCGCCAGCAGACCCGCCGCTTCCCCGGATATGGTGCGGTAGCCTCTTATGGCCCGTATGGCCATGACCCTGTGTGGCCTGTTGAGGCAGGCCACATTTTCCTACCTAGGGCCCCCACCCAGATGGGGGCCCCGTACAGGGCCATGGACCGCACCACGCCGAGGTATAGGCGGCGGGAACCTTCTCCCGGGCCCCTCACATTTGGCAGCAGCCAGCTAAGGGCGCCGGCGGCTGCCATAAGGCGAGGGACCAGGTTCCGGAAGTGAGCGCGGAAGCTCCAACGACTGTCCAGGTCAAGCCCCAAGTATCGAATACAGGGCTTGACCCCCACCCTCTGGCCACTGACGACCAGCTGGGCATCCGGAGGTGGCGCACGCCGAGGCCCATGAAAACACAGGACCTCGGTCTTCTCCAGCGCCACCTGGAGCCCAAGCCTTCTTATACGACCGACGACCAGCGCCACGCATGCCGTGGCAAAGCGGGTAGCCTCCAGTAGGTCCCGCCCCCGGGCAGTGACCAAGGTGTCATCCGCGTAACACACGAGGTCAGTGCCCGTTAAAAGGGCGCCCCGCAGGTTCCAATCATACCCGATGTTCCACAGGATCGGGCCCAGAACCGATCCCTGTGGAACACCGCGTTGCATTTCCCTCGACACTACAACGCCGTTCCGCCCCGTGCAAAGCACAGACCTGTCTTCTAGGTAGGCCCCGATCACGTCCCGAATGTAGGGAGGCGCGCGATGGTACTGCAGCGCCTCCCTAATAGTCGCAAAGGGCAGGGTGTTGAAGGCGTTCTTTATGTCCAATGAGACCGCCAACAACACCCCACCCTGGGACGTCGCCTCTTCCGAGAGGGAGCGCACACGCGAGATCGCGTCGATCGTCGAGCGCCCCTCTCGGAACCCGAACTGCTTCGGGCTGAGATCGGGACCTACCTGAGACAGGTGTTGGACGAGTCGGCCCGCCAAGATTCGCTCGAAGAGCTTGCCGATCTCGTCCAACAGCACTATGGGGCGGAACGCCGAGGGAACCACCGAACCTGCAGGGTGCTCCGCTTTGCGGAGCAGGACCACTCTACCCGCTTTCCACTGATTGGGAAACCGTCCCGACTCCAGACACGCGTTGAACAAGCGCCGGAGTCGGTCCCCTAGGGTGTTTAGGGCCAAGGCCAGGACGCGGCCGTGGATACCATCCGGACCCGGGGCGACATTCTTGCCCCGGAGTTTATCCACGGCCGCGGCGAACTCCTCCTCGGTGATGATAGGAACCGCAGCAGCGCTGACGCCGCTGGCCTCTCCATCACTGCCACGCGGCATCATCGGAGGAGGTGTGAAGGGAGGCTGTCTCGGGAACAGCTCCTCCAACACCCCCTCCAGCTGCTGCGGCTGGAGACCCTCTGCCACGGGGGGCGCCCAGGGGCGTAACTTGCCCCTGACGAACCTATAAGGACGCCCCCATGGATCCCTGTCCAGGGTCTCCAGGAGTTCTTCCCTGGCTGTCTCCTTGGCCCTGCTGATGGACAGCTGCAGAGCTTTCTTCCTCTCTTTGTACTGCTCGTACAGCTGTGCTTCCTCGTCGGCGTCGCGGCCCCGCCTGAGTCGGCGGTGCCTGGTGTACCGGCGGCGGGCGGCGGAGCACTCCTCCCTCAACGCCGCTATCTCCTCCGACCACCAGTACACCTGACGCCTAGGAGGTCGAGGGCCGGCTCGGGGCATCGCCGCGTCGCAAATGTGCGACAGAGCCTCACCGAACCAGCCCACCTCTGCGTCGACCTCCACAGGCCCCTCCGGTATGGGAACCCAGGCCTGGACGATGGAAGCCTCCATCAGCACGTCTTTATTCAGACGTTTCAACACCCATCTGGGGAGTTGTGGGACATTCCTCTCCTGGCGACCGGGGTGCGGAGCTACGGGTGAGGGGAGAACGTCTATCCGAATGTAACGATGATCGGATAGCGTCTCCACCTCATCCAACACCTGCCAGCTCCGCACCCTCTGTGCGATCGCTGGACTGCAGAGGGATACGTCGACATGCGACTCCCCCTGCTGTCTCACGCACGTGGCGGCCGACCCTCGGTTCAACACCACCAGGCCGGCCGCGGCCGCCCAGTCTTCCAGGACCCTGCCTCGAGAGTCGGTGATGGGGGAGCCCCATGCCGTGGATTTGGCATTGAAGTCCCCCATCACCATCATTGGACGGGCCGAGTATAGCTCCATAGCGGCCCCCAGCCCGTCCATGAACTGCTCGAACTCGGCGAGAGTCCTGTTCGGAGAGAAGTATGTCCCGACAACGACGGTTTCCCCCCCAACTCACACCTATGTACCCCGCTCCGCCGAATAGGCGGCTGACGAGCGGGGTCGCGGGGTTGCCCGCGCCGACAATGGCCACCAGGCCAGAGGGGTCGCCGAACCAATGGTCACTTCGTGGGACACGATATGGTTCGGCGACCACTGCAAGGTCAACTCCCCACTGCACCGCGCTCTGCAGAAGCAGATCTTGGGCGCGCGCGCAGTGGTTGAGATTCCCCTGCAGGAGGCGATGGACTGCCATTATTGACCGGTGTCCATCACCTCAGCCTCTCCCCGGCGGCCATTGCCGCGGGCCGACGACAGTGCGGATCCCTTCTTTTTGTTGCGGGACTGGGGGCACTTTTTGGCCCCCACCCGGTGGTCAGCTGGGCGACCTGCCGCTGCGCAAACCACGCAGTGTGGGGCCGCCGAACATCCGGCCGCTTTGTGGCCGGGAACCCCACACCGGTAGCACAAGCCACTCCGGTCCTCCTCGTGCGAGCACCTGGCCAGCACGTGCCCGCTTTCGAGGCACCGGAAGCACCGGAGTGGCTTCTGCCGCAGCAGTTCCACAGCGGCTGAGACCCAGCCGATCCGGATCCGCCCTGCCGTCGTCACCTTCTTGACCGCGGCCAATGGGGCCCGCACCCAGCAGGTGCCCAGGCCCGACGCGCCGCGCCGAATCTCCCCGACGTTGACGGCGTCCGCCGTGCACTCGCCGTGCTGTGCCACGGCGGCCGCCACCTCCTCCCGGTCGGTACCGTCATCCAGGCCCATGACCCTCATGTCGGCCGTGTTTGTGGGCCTGGCGATTCGGACCGTACCGGCCGGGAAGACATCCCGGAACTTCGACGCGAGCGCGTCGGCCTGGTCTCCCGTCTGGGACCCTGGGATCTCCAGGATCCGGGCCCCAGTAGCCGCGGTCTTAAAGCGCAGGCTTCCTATCCCCAAGGAGGCGAGGTTGATTTTTTCCTTCGCCTCCTTGAGGACGGCGGAGTAGGTCACTCCCGCCGCTTCTGCCTCCGGGCACAGTGTAACCACCACCGCCGCCGATCGCGGGGCACGCAACTTTGATGGCGACGGCGGGGCCGGCTTTCCCTTCTTCCCCTGAGAAGGAGCCCCAGAGGTCCTCTGAGTACTCTGAGTACTCTGGGTCTGCCTCTCAGGGACGTTGCGGTTTTTGCCGCCCCGTCGTACCACTGTGCTCCAGCCCTCGGTTGCGCGCCCCGCGCCCGACGGCCCCGGCTGTTGGCTGCCAGGGGCAGGCCGGTTGGCGGGTTGAAGCGGCGGGAATTCTGCGCCTCGCGCCCCCCGCAGATGGGGAGCGTCCCTGAACCCCGGTCCCCCTGCGCCGGGGAGCCGTGACAATACCTCGTATTGCCCGTCGCTTTGCAGCGGCGGGCGGCAGTCAGGGCGGATTGATGCCGCCGGGGAGCTAAGGCCCAGGGCAGCCTTAATTTCCCGGATGCCCTTATCAATTTGGGCACCGATACGGGCATCTATTAGCTCCCCGGTCGCCCGCATTATATCGGCCCTGAAGGCCCCGATCTCATCCGGCTCAGGGGTCGGGACAGGTGGCCTCAATCTCGGCCCCTGTGGCGCCTGTGAAGCGGCTAAAGGACGTTGCGGCCCCGAGCTCACCGCGAGTTGCCGCATTTGGGTTTGGAGCGCTTGGAGCTGGTTTCGGAGCTCCTTGTTCTCCTTACGGAGCTCCTCTACCTGCTCCTCCAACTTTCGCCGTTTGACGGCACCCGCGGTGAACTCGCTGTTGATGGCGGCACTCTCGTCCAGTTCCTCCGCCATCATCAGCACGGAGCTGATGCTGTCCGTTAGCCGCCTCTGGTCGGTCCCCTTTAGGTTCCCGCACCTGTGCACCGTGTCCAGGGCAGCCCCGAGCATTCTCTGGGCCTCCGCCCTGAAGACGGCCACAGGCTGCGAGTCGTCCTTTTGGGGGACCTTCCCCTTTCCCGCAGGAACCTCTGAGGGTCGGACAAACACCCCGTCGTCCCCTTGTTTTTCCTGCCGCCGGGACTTCGGCGACGTTGCCGGACTCTTTGTGCCACGGCCCACTGGCACCACCAGGACAATCCCATTCCCGGACGACGGGCAGGGGATTTTAGACGGCTTGGCACACCCGCCCGCCGCCCCGGAAGGGCCCGGTCCATCTACGTGCGGCCGCTTCGGCACGGCCGCTTTCGCTAGCCCGTCCTCGCTCGACACAAGGCAGCCGGACAAATCGTCCTCTACCAGCATCGAGCGCGTCGAGCGCGTGGAGCGCGTCGACGACGCTGATGAGGGCCGAGATGCCCGCGACCTTGCTCGCGAGACGGGCCGCGACCTCGCCGCCGACCGCACCGTGTCGGCGTCCGCCAATGTGACGGAATCCGTCATGGACCAAAAGTCCAGGTCCCGGGGTAGGGACAAACGCTCCTCGTCCCCCCCGGCGGGGGACGGGTAAAGGAGGGGGCTGGTAGTACCAGCCACTCCCTCAGATCGGCGCCAAAAGAGACACGCCCAACCGAAGTTGGGCGGGTAATACGGAGGCTAGCGCCTCCACAGGCTGCTCCAGGGCTTCCCCTGGAGCAGGCACAGCAAACAGGAGTTGCCCCCTGTCGCTCCCGGTGAGTCCACCAAAATCCACCTCAGCGCAACAAGAACAACAAAACAAACGAAACTTAACCTAACTAACCTAACCTAAGTATATGTACAAAACCTAACCTATTTAATTAAAAGAAAAAAGAAAGAATAAAAGAATCAACACAAACAAACAGACACACTACTATACTAAAATCGTAACCTAACTAACCTAACCTAACTATATATGTACAAACCTAACTAACTTAACAATTAAAAGAAAAGAAAGAAAAGAAAGAAAGAAAGATAATATATTGCGCTAGCGCCAAGAAGAAAACACCTCAAAACAATCAAGAAGGCCCCAAGTACAACCTAACCTAACCTAACCTAACCTAACCTAACCCCGTCGTGCCCATGTGACCAGAACACACCCGAAACACTATTACACACATTATATCACAATGCCCTCGCTTTGGAAGGAAAAGAATGGATCTGGAAATAGAATTAGGAACGGAAATAAAGTCAGAAAATTTCAAGGAAATTATAAAGAAAAAAGAGCATAGAGAAAAATTTTTAAAGTACGCAAAAGAAGTAATAAACAAGGTATCAAACATAAATAGTGATAAGCAAAGCTGTATCTAGGTGTATAGTGGATATACAGTCATAGATAAGCAATAGATATAAGTAATAAAAAGAATAATAGTAATAGTAAGAATTGTAATAGATAAGTAAGAAATAAAATAGGCTAAAATTCAAGTATGTAAACAAAAGTAAAATAGATAACCCTTAGAAATGTAAATCCCTAATTAAGTTCGTCCACTAGGTTTAATTGTAGTAATTAAGAAAGTTACGTGTCTAATTGTAAAAAACCTGGAATTTCACATAGTTACTTAGTGTGTTTACTTGGCTGTACCCCCTAGCATTATATATATACGGCCCACCCTGTTGTAAACAGCGGTTATATTATAGGTAAAAAAAAAAAAAAAAAAAAAAACCTAAATAACCTAAATTTATTTTTTTTTTTTTTTTATATATATCGTGTGGAAAAATCTTAGACCGTCACCCCGCCGGAGGGATGGCGAGGTGGTGTGTGGGACTTGTACCCACTAAAAAAACCACACGGTGTACCTACGAGCGCCTATGCCGGAGCCAGGGGATTCGCAAGTGCATTCTACCCCAGCTCCGACGGCGACGGCCCGCCCTGTAGATGTTGTAGGGCAGGCCCCATCTCGTTTTGTGGTTAGGGCGACCTATTTCGCCCTACTCCATTGTGGAGGCGTGTGGGTACACGCGCACACCTCCGGGGCCTTTGGATTGGGGGACTGCCTCCCTCAAGGCAGTCACCCCGGCCCCAGTGGGGGATAGAGGGGGACGGAGTTGGATACGCTCCCACCTCTAGGCCTGGCTCTTCTGCGGCGGAGGGAAGCGGGACGAGCTGGCTCCCGCTCCCTTTCCGCCGCCTCCTTCCGCGAGATAACTTCCTCGCAGAAGGAGCTCACCGCCAGCCACGATCTCTCGCTACTGACCATCCTCCGAACTAAATTCGGCAGCGAGAGATCGTCCCCCACTATTCGTGTGAGGACACGGCGCTCACTCTCGAACGCTGGACATTCGTCCAGCGTGTGTTGCGCCGTGTCCTCCACACCTCCGCACTCGTGGCAGCCGGTCGTCGGATCTTCGCCACATGACACAGATACCGCCCGAAGCACCCGTGCCCGGACAGTATCTGCGTCATGCGGTACGTCAGTGGCCATCTCCTATTCATCCACCTTTTGAGGATGGGACGGACAGCCTCGACGGTCCTCAGGCCGGCCGATGGACTGGCCAGCCTTTCTCTCCACCTGATCCTGAGGATCCGCCGAAAGTCGGACATCCGCGCTCCAATCTCGTGGCCAGCGGATGCCTCCCCCATGGAATGTCGTTCCGCGCGCCAGTGGTACACTGACGCGTGGAGCTCCGCTACCAAGTCCCACGGAGGAGACCCCGCCAGCAGACCCGCCGCTTCCCCGGATATGGTGCGGTAGCCTCTTATGGCCCGTATGGCCATGACCCTGTGTGGCCTGTTAAGGCAGGCCACATTTTCCCTACCTAGGGCCCCCACCCAGATGGGGGCTCCGTACAGGGCCATGGACCGCACCACGCCGAGGTATAGGCGGCGGGAACCTTCTCCCCCCCTCACGTTTGGCAGCAGCCAGCTAAGAGCGCCGGCGGCTGCCATAAGGCGAGGGACCAGGTTCCGAAAGTGAGCGCGGAAGCTCCAACGACTGTCCAGGTCAAGCCCCAAGTATCGAATACAGGGCTTGACCCCCACCCTCTGGCCACTGACGACCAGCTGGGCATCCGGAGGTGGCGCACGCCGAGGCCCATGAAAACATAGGACCTCGGTCTTCTCCAGCGCCACCTGGAGCCCAAGCCTTCTAATTCGGCCGACGACCAGTGCCACGCTTGCCGTGGCAAAGCGGGTAGCCTCCCGTAGGTCCCGCCCCCGGGCAGTGACCAAGGTGTCATCCGCGTAACACACGAGGTCAGTGCCCGTTAAAAGGGCGCCCCGCAGGTTCCAATCATACCCGATGTTCCACAGGATCGGGCCCAGAACCGACCCCTGTGGAACACCGCGTTGCATGTCCCTCGGCACTACAACGCCGTTCCGCCCCGTGTATAAACCTAACCTAACCTAACCTAACCGGAGGTTATAAATATCGTCCTTCACCTATATTGGACAATCAGGACGAAATTAAATCGCGTTCTACGTTTTACACAAATACACAAATAGCGCCATCTGGTGAGTGAAGGGATGTATTAAACACAGCGCCATCTAGTGAGTAGAGGTTATTTTGTTTCGTTTCGAACGCCATCTATTGTGAAATGGTTGCTCTTATTGATTCAGATTGAATCAATGCTTATCCCGCGCCTAGAATTATTCATTAGTATTAGTATTAATTATGCTATTGTTCGGCAATTTGCGCTATAAGTTACTGTATCCAGTTGAGTTATTGTAAAGCAATCTATCGTGAAATGGTTGTTCTTATATTGATTCGAATTGAATGCTTTTCGCGCACAATTGTTTATTAGTAGTATTAATTAATTAATTATGCTATTGCTCAGCAGAAGGCGCTATAGTTATTTATTGTATTGCTTGTATCCATTATATATATAATAAATAAATATATAATATATACCTGACGGCCTGAGGACCGTCGAGGCTGTCCGTCCCATCCTCAAACGGTGGATGAATAGGAGACAAATAATCTAATCATGACACAGTTACTGTCCGGGCACGGGTGCTTCGGGCGGTATCTGTGTCATGTGGCGAGGAAGGAGCCGACGACCGGCTGCCACGAGTGCGGAGGTGTGGAGGACACGGCGAAACACACGCTGGACGAATGTCCAGCGTTCGAGAGTGAGCGCCGTGTCCTCACACGAATAGTGGGGGACGATCTCTCGCTGCCGAATTTAGTTCGGAGGATGATCAGTAGCGAGAGATCATGGCTGGCGGTGAACTCCTTCTGCGGGGAAGTTATCTCGCGGAAGGAGGCGGCGGAAAGGGAGCGGGAGTCAGATAGTGCTTCCCTTTAGAAGAATAGAGGTGGGGGCGTACCCAACTCCGCCCCCCTCTATTTTGGGGCCGGGGTAGAAGCATTGAGGGAGGCAGTCCCCCAATCCAAAGGCCCCGGAGGTGTGCGCGTGTATCCACACGCCTCCAATATATATTAACCAGAAAACGAGATGGGTGCCCTACAACATCTACAGGGCGGGCCGTCGCCGTCGGAGCTGGGGTAGAATGCACTTGCGAATCCCCTGGCTCCGGCATAGGCGCTCGTAGGTACACCGTGTGGTATTTTAGTGGGTACAAGTCCCACACACCACCTCGCCATCCCTCCGGCGGGGTGACGGTCTATTGAAGATTTTTCCACACGTTAAAAAAAAAAAAAAGGCTCCCTACTGGACCTGCTGTCTACGCAATTGGACGGACGTTCTGTCATATTACCGAAGTCATATGCGGGTAGGAAATCTTGCATTCCAGATCTGTATGTAATTAAATATAAGTTTATGAATTAAGTAAATGAATATCACTATTTCTACGATTAAGTTAAGTAAGTTAGTCTGGATATTACGAGTAAGGAGAAGTACTGGATATTACTTCTCCTTATTCTAGCGTATTGTGAGAGATTGTGGAATGAACTACTTTTCTCATGAGACTACAGCATGAAGGGTTTTTCAAGAAGATATTAAGGTGTTCTTTTTTTTTTTGAGTCGGGCCGGGGGTGTCATGCACGGGACTTCTCTTGGCATTCCTTAGCGAATTCCTCTTCCATAGTGAAGAAGTTGCTCCGCCATAACCTTCGCCCCGTATGCCTTTACCTAATGCGCTTACTGCAATAATTTCATTGATTTTTTTTTTTTTTTTATTTATCTATCAAGATAAATTGGTAGGTATATTACAAATAAAGAAATTTCATTAGTAACATTTACTTTTATTACACTAGTATCACAAAGTTCGTTTTTTATTCTATGTACTTATATTATTAAAATTTAACAGATGATACAAAGTAAATATTTATTTTTTATTTGAGACAGTTATTTACATTTAATGAGTCTATTGCTGATCAAGATTTTATTTTTCTCTTTTTAATAAGTTATGTTAATAATACAATTACTATTGCAAATACGTTGACAACATTATATAGTATGACGCGTACTATATATATGATTCTATACATTATAGAATCGTACAAATAAATACGTCAAGTCCATTCTCGATCGTTGGGTACTGTACAGTGTAAATATTTAACATTTTATTTTTTTATTATGTGTATTATTATACAAGTGGTGGTCACACGAGCACTGGGATCCGCCGTGGCTTGACCCGGAGTCCGTTCTCCCGCTATAAGGCCATCTCGGGGCCGATGATGGCGACGCTCACCCTCGTGGCGCTGTCCACGGCGTCGCCGGCGGTCGCCCCCAACGCCCCCAGCGCCCCTACGGCCCCCACCGCCCCCACCACCCCCGCCGCCCCGTCCACGTGGTACGCCGGCACCGCGCCCCCGCCGATGCTGCGCAGCTCCAGTAGCCGCCTAGGATCCAGGCACAACCCATTTTCTTCTATGTCGCAGTTGTGACGATCACTACTGATGAGTTTCAGTCGAGGATACAAAAACGTCTCATCGGTCTGGACTTGTCTATCCAACGAGCCGTTCTTTTCTGGAAATACATGAAATAATACGTTTTATATGGTATAGAACGAGGTTTAATTTTGATATAGTAAACGTCATACTATATAAAGTAAAGTAGTAGGTAACTCTGCGCGGGGACGGGGGACGGTGAAACGTTTCGGTCGGGAGGAGGAGTGGAGCGGGCGGGTGGATGCGGGCGCGTGCACTGACCGGTGTCGTTGAGCGTGGAGAGGTCGGTGGAGGGCGTGAGGTCGGCGGCGCGCGGCAGCGGCGCGGCGCCCACGAAGGCGGCGCACACCGCGCCCCCCGCCGCGCCCGCCGCGCCCCCCGCGCGCGCCGCGCCCCCCGCGCACCCCGCGCCGCCCGCGCGCCACCGCGGCGGCATCAGCGTCGCGCGCACGTTGCGCTCCGGCCGCACTATGATTATGTACAGCTGCAACGACACATCCATCCGTCATCTCATCGCGATATATATTAAAGAATTGGCGATCGGTGTCGATGAAATGAAATAGAGGTCCACCTTAGGCGCGAAGAGACAGGCGAGGGTGACGCTCGCGCTCAGGGAGATCGTGACGGCCATGCTGGTCACCCGCAGCGGGACGTGGCTCGCGGTGCCGAAATATAACGGCACGAACGCCAGCCAGATCACGCAAGTCGTGTACATTGTAAACCCTGCAATGAATAATGTAGGCTTTAGGCGTGTTCGCGATTGAGTGTATATGAATGTAGGAGTGAGGGTGGCGGGTGTACCGATGTGCTTGCTCTCGTTGAAGGCCTCCGGTATCTTCCTGGTGAGCACGGCGTACACGGTGCACACCACGATGAGCACCACCGGGTAGAAGAACGCGATGGTGTAGGAGGCGTCCACGTACGAGTCGCACACCAGCATGTTGTCCTCCCGCGACGGGTGGTGGTGGATGGCGCGCGCCGGGGACACCACCTGCCATACCACCACCACCACCACCTGCCCAACAACACCATCATCATCACCGCCTTGAGTGTGTGTGTGCACGTACACAACTCGCAGGTAGTGATCGAGAAAATTAACGGTTGTGCATAGTTTCACGAGGAAAATGCTTAGGGTATGATCGAAACCTACATTACGTTCGTGAGAGTGATTACTTAAAGTCGACGATGTACTATCGCCCAATAATTACAAATTGTTATATATTGCAAAACATGGTATCCGTAATACACTACACACAAAATAAATTATTTAACAGATATAAATTAAAAAAAAAAAAAAAAAAAAAAAACTAGCATTGTACCTGAATTGAAACTAGTATTGAGCAAATGACTAGTTGTGACTTCGGCGATATGAGCGAGGGCCGGCGGGCGGAGTGCTTGCTGGCGTCAAAGATACGAGCTATCCTGTTGGTTTTCGTCAAGAGCGCCGCGTATACCACTGTGAAACAGAAGCCGGTTCCAAATCTGGAAATAAACATGAAAAACATAAATAAGTAATTGACACTATTCAATCTGGATGGAGGTACTGCACGTGGATAGTGTGAAATATGCATAGTGGATAGAGTTACCGTTGCAGAGAGCAGAGGAAGTCGGTGGGGCGCAGCACGAGCGCGAAGGTAATGAGGTAGCACATCATGATGCCGGTCAGCAGCACGAACGACAGCTCGCGGCCACTGGCGCGCACCACCGGCGTGTCGCCGTGGGCCGCCCACACGCTCAGCACGAATCTAATTGCACACGCGGTGCGATACTTCATTTAATTGTGATTTCACATCGAAATGTTGTTGAATATATGAGATTTCTTGTATTTTTTTTTTTAAACAACAGAGATTGATTTGCTGAGCATCAAAATGGGATTTTATATAGGAGGAGAATTAAATAAAGTGTTGTGAGTATTACGTAGTGAGCAGTAGACCGAGCGTGGAGAAGGCCATGGCTCCGATGGCGGCGGGGTGGTCGGGCCGCAGGTAGAGCTCGGGCACGCGCGCGCAGCTGGTGCGCGCCGCGTCCGGCAGCGTGCCCAGCGGACACTCCGCGCACGCCGTCTCCGACACCGGCGACCGGATCTGTACGCACCACACACACGCATTACATACACACACACACACATGCTCCCGAACTACTGCCACCGCCCATGTATCGGACAGCCGATACGATATGTACTGCAGCTATTTCACTAGTGAATGATCGTATCGCATAATAATAAAAAAAAAAAAAAATGTGATATATTTTAATCAACAAGATATCAGCAAATGATGACCGGAAAAAGGAAAATGAATGTCCCAATTCTAGACAGGTCTTGAGGTCGGTTTGTTGCATGCTCGTAATTTATAATTAATAATTTTGGGTCCAATAAAGTGTTGAGTGGTACAGGAGCGTTAATTAACAGTATTATTCCGGCGGACTGTTCAGAATATTTATATGTGATGTGGACCTCGTATTGTGTGCAGTTGAAGCAGTGCCAACAGCAGCTCTCTCCCTCCACGTACTGCTTGGCCTGCCCCAGCTCGCACTCCGCGCTGCACACCGACTCCGGCGGCCGCCGCTCCTCCCATTTGAATTGGATGTCTGCATCAAATATGTCATTTTTAAACTCTGTCGTCGTTATCAAAGCAGCGACTTACACACCAGTCACTTTCAATTCGGGAACGATTTATTATTTCCGACGATGATGAATCAAGGTCCGTATTTTCGTAATTATTATTTTTAGGCCTTAAAGACGTCAAACGCAAATATTAAAGCGGGCCGACGTAGTCGGAGTCAGGGTGGAAGGTGGAAGTGTCAACGCAATCTCGTGACTCCAACAATAGGCGCTTCGTCTCACTCCTTGGAGTCTTTAGTGAGTACGAGTATTTCGCTTGACTCTCCAGAGCGGGCTCTGAGACACTAGATCACTCCATGAGGGAGTTTCTCCAAGTAAATAGATATAGAATGTAATAATTAGCAGCAGTGTACCAACCGTCCATGTTCAGTTCCAGTTCCCCGTCCAGATATCTGCCGACCTTAAGCCAGCGATAGACTCCCGGCGAGACTTGCTTGAAGTGTAGGATGTTGTAGCGCACGGGACCGTCGCCGTTACTGTCGAAATGAAACTCGTCGCCGCTGAGACCTGCGCATGCGACGTATTAAAATATAATTGAATGGCAGTGGTTCTGATATTTATGTCTATTGGGTAAGTTTAAATGGCTACCTATGAACCGCACTTTCCGCAGGTAGCGCAGGAGCGCCGCGCCGCTCGCCGGCCGCATCGCCTCGCAGAGCCCCGGCTTGCCGCCGCACAGATCGTCGTGCATGTCCCTGGGTAACAATACGACTAATTTAGTGATGTCGATGCAGAAGGTGGTCAGGAAATGAATATCGTAATTTAGATAGATAGAGAGAATTTGTAAATTTGCGACAACTGGGCACCTGATGGCGTGCACGAAGGCGAGAACAGCGTCGGCGACGAACTGCAGCTGCGCCTCGAACTCCGTGTTGTCGGCGGTGAGTCGCTCGCGGCCCGAGCACGCGCGCGAGTACTGCCCGTTGTAGGGCGTGCGCGCGCTGCCCGGGTACCGACATCGGAAGTGATCCTCCCAAAATTCTGCGCAATACACCGTTGTGTGTGACACCAAACAACAAACCCACTGCACTATTCATATTATTTTAATAGCGAAAAAACAACCTACAATTTTCGTATTTGTTAAAGATATTTATTTTACATGCTTGTATGTACAAATTTCCAATAGAAATAATATAATTGATGTGTTTTATGATTGCACCATAGGACGTCAATCATCAGCTATTTTTTCAATCTCCGCATAGTTCTGTAAAAATTTTCCGATACATTAATCATAAATACTGGATCATTCCTCATTCATTCATGGATGGACTCGGTAAGTATGTAAGCAGCGTAGTTATACGATGAAAACGAAGTGGTTATATGTACATATATTACGCGACGACAGTATAGTGCTTGTATAAGTTATAAATGTTTTATTCTCGAAGTACACATGTGAACATGTGATCACGTAGTAGGTAGGTACCAAATATTACCGCAACGTTTGTCGAGGTCACATGTTTCGTATTCGGTAAGTGAGTTGGATTCGCGAATGGATGCGTCGGTGAGAATTACCGACAAACCAGGGGTTCCTCGGGTTGTTCTGCACGGTGAGGTTGAGGAAGTAGTCGCGGAAGCCTCGCACGGGGTTGGCCTGCGGCTGCACACTGATGGTGCCCTCGACGGCGGCCTCGTTGCCCTCGGAGACGAGCGCGCGCGCGCTCCACCCGTCCGAGCCGACCCACCCGAACGTGTCGGTGGCGCGCAGCCGCCCCGCCGCCGCCATCACGCCCGCCACCTCCTGGTCCGACCCGAACACGATCACCCCTGCGACCGGTACAGGACACACCGTTATCACTCCACACCCTCTATGTATCTCTGCGTACCTTCAAATTCAGCGAGAACATTTCGGTGGATATACCTCTAGCTCTCGGTCGAGATAACAACCGTGACACTATTGCGTCGTAGGCGTTCTCGTCCGCCTCGCCGGAGTCCTTCACGAGCCGTTCCTTGACTGCGATACATATGTCGTTACGTGCCAGCAATGTCTCCAGTTCTTCGAATGCCTGTTGACGATGTCTATTATTGGTACGCGTTTGAAATGTCTTAACATAGCAATTATTGAGAAGAACGCTGCATCAGCGATACCTTGATGCCGTAGTTGGACTCCTCGTATATAATGGACACATATTTCCAGCCCAGTTTCTTCACTATTTCGACCATCGCTCGAACCTGATGTTGGTCGGAAGGAATGGTCCTTGTGAAGTACTCGAAGCGAGCTTTGTTCGATAGTTCTGGAGACGTCGAGAAAAACGAAACCTAAGAATAAAATATATCATTACTGTATATTGTTAAACTGCGCGTATTAAGATGTCGATTTTAAAGTAATTTTCTATTTAAACTATTAAAAGATCTGCATATAAACATGTATAATTTAGAATTCATAGCAGTGTTTGACTGCTTATTAATACATTCTTAAAAAAAAAAGTGAAAAAGTCATAAATAACATCGTAGTGAATAACGAATAATAATGTATTGTACTGCAAAGATGAATCTAGTAAATTAATTCTATGGGCAGGTTAGTACGGAGAAATCGATTATAAAGAAATGATATTAAGGCACCGGCCCGGTATGTAGACTGCTACGTCGGGCCGAATTGAATAATTATAATACGTATACTGGGCATCAGATGTACATATTTATATTTATATATATACCTAGTTATGGATTTTTTGATAATATTCAAATTAATTTAAAGATTCATATATGTTATAAGATTTCATATTTCATCAAATATATTCGTATTGTTAAATAAATAGCTACATTACTTAGGGAATATGTGGTGAGTACTTGGGGTATTTTGAAGAGTCGCAGCAGGTTGGCGACTTGCACTGAGGTGACGCTGGAGGCCGCGCCCACCACGCCGGAGATCACCTTCCGGACGGCGGTCGCGTTGCACGCGTATTCCGCGTCGTCGATGTTGCTTATCGAGCCTGCGGTCACCATACTACTCAGTAAAAATATATTATACTAAACATGATGTGACCAGGTTTAGCGCAATATATTTATAAGTTCGCAAACACGTGAATAATAATATTAAGAAAGAAATTTTGATTTAAGTTGACGGGAAAGGGAACAAAAAATGAAACGAAGTGTTGAAAAACGCCTTCTTCAAAATATCGATTTGATTTATCGATTTAACGGTAACAAATATGAAAAAATGTTTTAAATAATAGTTGTAGAGAATAAAAATCTGTACAAAATAGGTCGTTTTCATTTTTTCATTATCTGCTGCTGTTGTTTAGCCACAAAATGTAGACTTACTTTTTCATATGGCGCCAAAACTGGTCAAATCATGTTTATATAATTTGAAATTTGACTGGATTATAGCGTCGTTAGAGAGGGTGGGCGACGAGCGACACGAGCGTCACGGAGAAGGATGGCGGATTACCCTTGATGAAGTCGAGCGCCATCTCGAGGCCGTAGGTGTCGTTGTCGCAGTCGTCGAGCACGTGCGCGCCGAGCCGCACGCCGGGCGGCGGGAGGCGCGCGCGCGCCGCCTCGTCCAGCGCGAACAGCATCGCCTCCAGCGCCTGCACGCCGCCCTGAGACATCACGCGCCCGCACGTCGCGCCCTCCGACCGCGCGTGCACCTGCACCACAACACGCCACGCCACTCATGTACTCACGCCACACATACAACGCCGACATCATACAATCATACAAATACAAATCAACAGAATCCGCGGTGAGGTTGTACGCTGGTATTCTGTAAAACTAGCGACTGCAGCGCCACACGCTCGAGAGCGGGACGGAGGTAAGACAGGGACCAGCGATTTTTTTAGAAATATACGCAAACTCGATAGCATTTATTGGACAATCGAGTGAAGCAATGAACGAAATGAGTTGACTAAGCGCTTACGGAATACCAATACAGATACGAATTGCATTTATATATAATGGACAAAATTTTAAATCGTTCAATTAATACTGGATTTGAAATCTAGTATCACCGCTTTTTTACCATTAGTAAAATATAAATAAACAGAACAATAAAAAAAAAATTGGATTCCAATAACAAATCTTGACTTTGATCTGAATACGAGTACAGACAGCAGTCTAAAAGGAAAATTGGCTTTCATTTGCAGTGGAGAATTATTAAACGAATCTGCGTTTTGTAGATTTACATTTACATCGCAACTTTTGAACCCATATTTATTTAATAACTAATAAATATTAGCGTGCTCCTATTTTTTATCTTCTGATATGTAACTTGTAAGAATTAATTAGGTTATTAAAACGATCCCGTCACCACTCACAGCAGATTCTGGACACTGCCGCTTACTCAACCGCATGTCTTTGTATTTTTTTTATGAAGACCCGATATTTCACGACATCTTAATATAATATGTTCTAACCGACTGTAATAATAATTTTGTTCATTTGTTGTCACCGATGAGAACAAATTAACAAAATGTCTACTAAAGTTCAGAAACAAAACTAATAAGGTTGTTATTTAGAGTTGATATTTAAAAGATTTTTTCGCAGCAGGTTTATTTTACAACATAAATTTTATTAACATGAAAATATATTTGCATAACTTAAGTGTACAACTAAGAACCTAAAATAAAAAATCTATATAAATCCAGTAATGAATTAATTTTGTTTTGTTCATTGGGTAGCGAACAGAACATAGAAGACGCCGCGCGTGTAAACTCTCGGTAAACAAACTATTCATATTCATTGCTCGTTTATTTCTTAACTACTATACAATGTCCTTACAATCTCCTAATGTTATATTTGTGATGTGGAATGTGTAAGTAGTTTTTATTTGTAAATTAAAATTGTTTTCACTCCTGAATTATTCGTGCACTTCTGTCCTCTCGGCATTTCGCGTCGTAAGATTGGCGAAAACACATACTTGAAGCGAGCAATACAATATTATGTATAGAGAATTCGTTAGTAATAAATATATTATATTATTTTTCCTATCATATAGCAGCATCTCTATTCGGCTCTCATTTCGTGGCCGGGAATATGTACGAGCTGGAGTCGTACATTGTTTCGCAACATTAACATTGATAAATGTATCATTTAATATTTCACCAGAAATCAGTTCGCATGTTGTCATCAAGAACGCTTCGCGTACTCATTTAACATTAATCAGTTTCATAATCAAGTCATTGGTATCTTTTTTATGAACCAAAACTACAAAAGATTCTGATAGGTAATCAGAATCTTTTATAGTTTTGGTACAACGTACGATTAATGTAATAGTTTTTTTTTTAAATAATAAATTTTGTCATTTGGTCTAAAATAACACGGTGATAAATAATTAAGGTTTATAATTACAACTTAAGAAATTATATTAGTGTACATAATGTTATGTGACTTGGTAGTAATAAGTTTATAAATACGAGTATTAACACGTACTCGTACTCGTACTCGTACAGCGTTGAATTATGAATTTAATAAGGCGTATGAATGGGGCATATAGTAAATTGTGTGTCCGGCCAGTGGGGAGGAAATAAGAGGGCGACACGTAGTCGTGGGCAGCCGCGCCCGGGGCGGCACACATCTCTACCATAACACACCCATACTCAGTACACGAACAACGATTTTTTGTATTTGTTACCGCTCAAACTTTGGAAAGCCGAAATTAATTTCGATCCTACAAAGAATAGTGTTCTTTTTACAATAACTGGCTGCCGTCGTTGGCGCTTGGTGCAGTGCTCGAATTTTGTTAAAGTAAATCCTTTACTGCGATCACATGACAGTTTTAATAAGCGTCAGCGATGTGAATTTAACAATGCAATATTCGTAAATTATTACGGAGGAACTCGATATTAAAATAACAAGTATCTACTCCATTCATTATGAAAAAAAATATATATATGTACTTTTTTAAATATACTTGTTATAATAGTTTAGACTCGCGGCATTGACTGCGCCATGCCTATTAAAAGTAAGTACGTATATATAAATAAAAATGCGTTTATCTCGTGGAGGAGAGATTTGTACAGTAACAAAATTGGAATAATTATGTACAAAGACAGAAAACCAGAATAAAGAGCCATACAATAATTTACACAGCTCAACTAGTACCGAGCTATGCAGAGCTTGTGTTACATGTACTAGACAACTGATATAAATACTTAGATATATATATATTTTAAATACATACTTAATTTACATAGAAAACACCAACACGACGTTCAATGTATTACATGGCAATACAAACTGTTTTACACTCTATGTATTATTACGTAAATATTGAATTTGTTTTCATTGAGAGCAACGTGGGCCGCCACTAGGGTTTACTACCGACTTAGACCCCAAATTGATCAATTAAATATGAATTTTTATTTCTGACTGACTCTCCGGAGATGAAACCCTATTATGTTATGCATGTAGCACCACTCATGCGTTGCTATGACTAAGACGTCATGTCTCTATATTTGTAAACTCACTGCCGTTGCTCACCATCCGGAACCGGATACGCAGCTTGTAAAGCAATGCAGCAAGCAGTGGGTGGCTGCAATAGTTGGCTTTGGATGACGCGCACAGATTACTTTATACAAAGTGTTCGTACGTCTACTTCTTCAGATGTCTATAAACTGATAACTTCACTGATTAAGTACAATTATATTGTATGTAAACGCGCCAAGTTATTCCATACATAAATATAAGACAGCGAATGTGCGGTATATATAATGTGAGCTGGAACCACACGTGGGCACACTATACACCCGGCCGAGTGTGCAGACTAATGAATCATGCGGTGGGTTCATTTACTTTAATGATCTCCCCCCCTCGTGATGATGATGTTGTGTCCTAGTGATAGTGATGCATCGGACCGACGCGGCGACGCGACGCGCGACGGCGAGCACGCGACAGTTTTATTATTAAAAACGGGTAACAAACCAGAAAGATAAATATAGAAAACAATCTAAATATAGAAAGGTATTTATTCGTTTAGAACTGAATTTATTTAAATTTACCAGCGTAAAATTTGTTTAGATCAAAATTATACATTATTTATAATTAATATTATCCGGGTCTTAACACGAACTCATTTTATGGCAAATTAAAAATAACTAGACCATACTTCTCATAGGTACAAGTATGTCCATACACTCTCATGTTAGTTTCACCAAAATAATATATCAAAGTATTAAAATAGGATTGTACGTTTTGTTATAGCATTTGTTGAGATGACTAGGTATGCTAGGTATCCTTGCTTGCGTTTCTGAAGTACGCAGCACGCGTGAAGAACGTATTAGGAGATGTTCATTAAATTAACCAAAACTATAACCTTAAGAGGTCACGTTGTTTGACTTGTCTTGACACATACTAATAGCTATTTAACTGTATCGATCGTGATGCGGTTTAGTAGACAGCAATAAGGAAGTATTATATTATAGTTGCGGGTTCTACAATATTTTGGGATGATAAATACGTTTGTGTTGCTGAGTACCTACGATTATTTGTATAGCTCTAGGTTTTTCTATGTATTTAGAATATATATATCTATCAGTTGTTTTGTACCAATACTATAATACAATATTTGCTTAGTTAAGGAACTAGTAGTGCATCTGTGAATTGTCCTGAGTTCTTATTAACTATATATTGGTTCCTGTGTTAGCTGCGGCTGGATATATATATTATTAGATATTTACATTGCATTATATTTAGGAAAACTAAGTAGGTGGTGGTAATACCATCATAAGTCCACCGAGTATGATGTCACCCTCGACGACGGCCGCATGCTTCACCGGCCACAATGTTTCGTTTTCGGTAGGTTTCTTCTTGTACGGGAGCCGCACCTCGCGTCTGCCGGAACCACCTCCGCCAGCACTATTCACATCACCGCCGCCCTCCTCTTCTGTGATTTTCAGTCGTAGAGGTGGAATCGGTTTTGACGATTGTGCACTGGAATTGTATATATGATTGTGACGCGTCGTGTACGTTTGTTGGGTCGCGAGGGTGTCGGGCGCTGTGCGGCCGGTGTCCCGCTTGTTGTTCGGGTACGTGGAGCGGGCGGCGTCGGCCGCCTGCTCCGCGTCGTCCGGCCGGCCGGCCATGCTGGCCTGCAGGGACGAGGCGCTCGGCTGCGACATATTGTCCGTTTTATTTTTATACTTTTTCTTTTTGAACATTTTAGATATATCGAAGGGAGCTATGAGCGAGTGGGTCTCCCTTTTGTATCTGCTGTATTTTCTGGAGATGTAGTTTTCGTAATCTACGACGTAGTCGACGCGGCTGAGGAGTTTGAGGTCGCCGTCGAACATCTGAGATATGTTGGCGAAGTCGGCGCGCTGGTCGTAGACGATGGTGCGGAGGAAGCGGCCGGCGAGCCGGTCGTCGTGGTCGTCGGCCTCCCACCGCACGTGTGTGTGCAGCAGCGCCCGCCCGCCGCCGGCCGCCGGGCTCGGCTGGGGCCGCACGTGCACCAGCAGCGCCCACAGGGCCACCACCCGCACCATGCTTCACCCGAAGGCCTTCAAATCATTTATAGTGACATGCGATACGTAGTCGTATACCACACACATCCCTTACACACTTTTTAGTTATGATTCGATCCACAAACATATAGTATTATAATTCTAATATATTCTAAGAATTATTGCGTCTGTTTAGTATATTCGTTTGTACAATTAAATTTCATTTTTTTAAATTAAATAATCGCACATTAATTTAATATTTTATAAAATTTAATTCGCATTTAACAAGAAATAAAGTTAATTTTTATTAATAATTATATATGTGTGTTTTGTTATTATACGTTTTGTATATTTTCGTATGTAAATATAAAGAATATGGAACTGCGCTAAATAATATTCCGTTATAGCGCTGTTACTACTGTTGTAAAATAGTTGGAGTGACGAGATGTGTCGCGAGTTCGCGTTCGTCGCGTGTCGCGTGTCGCGTGTCGCGCGGCGGCGCGGTGTGTCGCGAGGCGCGTGGTCGGCGCGCGAGCTCGCCGCCCAGTGCCGGATAGTGGCTACGGCCGCTACGCCGCCACACCGCTACGAAGCTACGACGCTACGACTCTACGTGGCTACGCCGCTACGACGCTACGGCCTGACCGCGGAGAGCGTAGTCTTAGACGTGTCGGTGCAAAGCTCGTATCTTCTAAATTGAAGACTTCATGAAAGATGTATGCTGTAAATCGAATATAAACACGAACAATATATGTCTGTACACAAAACAAAACACAGTAACACTGTGCTACTGTGTTTTGTGTATATATATTTACACTGAACTAAGCAGATGTTTTATTAAACAACTGACAGATATAATCGATGACATTATGTTTTTTGTAAATATATAGAGTGTACCTATATATTTATAAAAAAAAACATACAGATTCAGGCCTACATATAATTAGATATTAAAAGACAGACTGTTGGTGCCGGTCAAATTTTTTTCAACATTCGTTTTTGACTTATTACTACGTAAGTGTTACGCCAACACAAAATTTACATTACTTGAAAAATGCATCCAGTATCTACAGTAAGTTTGTATGTTAAAATTTAATAAAACCAGCGACATATTATCGAAATTATAATGAAGTTGTAGTAATATTATTGATTCAAGTATTTTTTTTTATTTTCGTTGTATATATATTTTTTAACATGCTTACACAAGTTATAATAAGCAACTATTTAATTCCGCTTATACATATTCACTATCACTTATAACAAATTTATATTTACAACGCCGTGATAAAAATTACAAAATTCCGTTGATATGACAATAAGTTCATCTAATATTACAAGCATTGCTACATGTACAGGAGTTGGGTACAGTGTATGAGTTTGCTGTGACCCACACAATCTGGATGCTATGTTGTATAGCATCGAGATGATGCTATGTAAGTCCGGGCTGCTTTCCAACTTGATATGATATGTGGACTGATATGTGTGCGCGTTGTATGTGATGTATGGACGCGGGGCGGTGTAAAATACTCCGTGTATACACTAATAATGTTTGAGTTCAATTAGGTTTTGTTAAGTCTTTCTGTTGTCTAACTATGACTTGTATTATGTATTGAAATAGTAAGTAGTTGTGTTTGTAGTATGTTGTCTGCCTGTAAGGGTGGTACCCGGGTGAGTGGGTGTCGGGGTGCCGTGTGCCGCGGGACGCTCGCTAAATGGTGCGTAATGATAACAATAATTAGTTCAATCGAACGAACGAAAATATGGTCACGATTGTAATTCCCGATGTATAGTTTTATTACTTAAGACATACCAATATATATATATATATATATATATATATATATATATATATATATATATGTATATATGTATGTGTATACAGCTTGAAGTAAGAATCCGGAGCGCTTTCTCCGGAGTAATATGTCCTAATGATATCGACTCCACGGGCGGTAACAATTTTATTATTAGCATGTTTTGTTTAGTTCAACATCTTATTCGTTCGTTGTCATTGAAATATAAAGCGTAAATAATGATAAAGCGTAATTTAATTATATGTTATATATGTATATGTATAATATTTAATATATACTTTGTATTATCATAAGCTAACGGCCACCTAATGGTTAGCGGTGACCATCACCAATATACATGAACAGCACCACGAATATCAAGTTATCACGTAGCTTAGTCACGTGATAACTTGATATTCGTACTGTAGTGTATGTGGAAACACTAGCAGTTTATTATGTATCGTCTCGAGCCGAGCGTACACGGACCGCCGTGCGCAAGAGGGAAGGGATTCCCTGCGCAAGCGCCGCGGAGTAAAGACGTGGAGCTATGGCTAACGAGCCGATATTACGTCGATAACAACTTACATACAAGAAGACATAAATAACAAATAAGTGAACACTATTCGTACCATTCACCACTATCCTTACCAGTTACCACTCGTGCGTTCATCTTCTAGAGGACTAAGACAAACACTAACACGCAACACATCATATAGTTTTAGTCCTCAATTTGAAACCTACAACCGACAGCTTGTAAAGGAAGCTGCTTGGCGGCTTAGCAGTGCTTAGCTGAGACTGAGGTACACCGTACAAACCAGACGATGCCGATGGCGATTCACAGCCATTATTTTTTTGTTAACGAAAGTCATAAATCTTTAAATTTGTGTGAACTAAATTTTGTTGAGGCGAAGATATCTCATGAAGCACTGTCAAATGCAGAGTTGCGTTCTTTTCGAACTCGTTTGAGAAATAATGACGTCATTTGACTGTTATCGCGTAGAATCTTAAATGATGAATATTTTCTGAATCGTCTCGGATTCATTACGTGAAGAACGTGGTTAAAGAGTTACTTTACATAATAAAAGGGCTTCATGGTACAATCAGTTAATTTTAAATCAAACGCACGTGTGAATACTAATACAGCAGTAAAATACAAACACAAACACAAAGACAACAGGCAATACAAATGAATTAAAAAACAATAATAACCCTGAACAATTCACACAGCGCCATCTAAACCCAAGTTAAAGCTTGTGTTATGGGTACTAGATAACTGAAAACACCGATACAAACAATCATGCTCATGAATACAAATATTTGTACCGTGCGAGCAATCGAACCCGCGACCATCGGATGTAAGGCGGTGTGCTAAACCGCTAGACCACCGAGATCGATAAATGTTATTATTGAGGTAGAGGGTGGATGCTCTTACTTTTTACAATTAACGAAGGTTCTTCAGAGGATTGTGACTGCGACTAAACTTTTTGAATTTGGTTTCAGTCTTCTTACTTCAGGGCCCTAAATCTTTCAGTGATGTCAGCTGACGATAAATCTTTGGCCGCTTAGATCAACTGTCAGGCGGAGTGGCCAATGTAACACTTCACAACTGCCCCGCAGTGTATCACTGTCTTTTTCTTCAGTATGTTTTATTTTCATCTTTTCCTATAAATATAGTTTTCTTGTCACATGCAACTTCTGTTTCTTACTTTATTTATATGTTGATTTAATAAAATTCATGAAAACTCATTCCTGAGAACCGCTAATACAGGCGTACATGCCACGGGTCGCAATCCTGTTATATAAAAAAATATTGTTGTCATTTTTACATTTATGTAGGTAAATAAGAGAAGAAAAATATTCGGAGAACGGTGATTTGTTGACGGAAAGTAAAAATGAAATTGTTAAAGAGCGGAATTATAAACTTAAATACAAATTTATGACGTAAAGACATTAGTGACTAGACTGTTACAACACAATCGGCGCTAAAATATTAAATTGATAGGTTTTTTATAGGGGTATAATTACATCGGTGTGAGTTTTATAAATTTATGATTATAATTCAATAATTATAATAATTCAATATGCAGCTGGAGTAATTAGGTTTGGTGTGAATAATATCGGATAACAGCACGATCGAGATGGTTGAACAGTGCGAGGAATGGAGTTGCAGGTCAATAGAAAAGACCTGAGTATATAGATTAGTTATGAACAGACAGGGACTGAGGGAAGTGTAAAGATTACATCCCCAGCATCAGGTCTCATATGATTTACTTAAATACAAATGTAGGACATAAATATATTTGTAATCAGCTCGCTCCAACAATAATGAAGGCATATTATAAAATTCACTAATTATAAATTTATAATATATACATAATGAACGATTTCCATTTATATCAATTGAGCGTGATTGAATAATAAACATCCTTAAAAACTTTTAAATTCATAATATCCAGGGAGTAAGGATTTCAAAGGGCGGCTCGTGCTTCAAACAATAAATATTTGTTTCTTCGCTCGAGTCCTTCTGCGTAAATATAAACGGGGCGTGTCTCATTAAATTAATTCGATGTTTAATTAGCACGGAAATTAAAAAATAAACGAATTGAACAAATATTATATATTTAGCAATTTACATTTTAACAGTTAGGTACTCGTCAACGAAACGGAAGTGTTGCAATGGTTTGGGTGTCAGTTACTTTGTACACTGGTACTGTATCATGAAGATACCTATCTAGTACATATAATAATATATGTGGATTACACACAGCATATACTATTTATGTATACATATCTTATACACTATGTATGTAGTCTATTATATATGATATTGTATTCAATTATTTATATTATCTGCACAGTTGTCCGAGATTCACTTATTCGGGGTTCCACTGAAAATAAGCGTCGTGGCTATTGTCATGTCATAATGCAGAGATGGGCCCCTTACACGCACGTCATTACAGTGACGCGGTGACGATGCCCCGCAGTGGTGGATGGGAAATGCATTTTACTTTATTATTATTTTTTATTTTTATTTGTTTGTTATTCTGTTGGCCATTTATTTTGTTGTGATGTAATAAATGTTATTCAGTTACCGTTAAACAGTGTAGTGATTAAATGGGTGGCTGTTCCGCTGTACGGTCGCTCAACATAATAATAATATTATGGTGTGTCTGTGTAGTTCTGAAGCTGCTGCCATATCTGGACGTATGTACCGACTTAGTTAATTATATTGTTTCGTTTTACAACATGTTT